GGCGGGGTTCCGGCGGGTGTGCGGCGGCATTTCCTGGCGGCGGCCGGAGGAGCAGGACGATGGTGAGGGACGGGGGGGCTGCGCTGCATCCGGCGGCATCGGGCACGGGCGGGCACCGGGGGGCACGGGGGGACACGCGGGGACACGAGGGGGAACGGGCGGACACGGGGGGACCGCGCTGCATCCGGCGGCAGCGGGCGCGGGGGGGGCACCGGGGGACACAGGAGGACACTGGGGGGCCACGCCGGGGTGGGGGGAGCGTGGCCGGGCCGGGGCAAGCGGCGGGCGGAGGGGGCGCCCCCGGTGAGCGGAGCCCCCGGTGTGAGCGGAGCCCCCGGTGTGAGCGGAGCCCCCGGTGTGAGCGGAGCCCCCGGTGTGAGCGGAGCCCCCGGTGCCGCCGTAGGTGCTGCTGCACGTGCTGTTCGAACATGCGGCCGGGTACGCGCTGTTCGCCGTGCGGGAGGTGGAGGAGATCGGGCTGCAGCTGCCGCAGGTACGGGGCTGGTGCGGGAGAGGGAGAACGGGAGCGAGAACGGGAACAGGAGCGAGAAAGGGGGCGGGGAGGAGCGGGAGCGGCGTGTAACGGGAGCGGCGTGTATCGGGATCGGGGGAAGCCGCGGGGAGGGGCTGCCCTGTTCGGGGGGAACGCTCTGTGTGCCCGGAGGGTCGCAGCGGGGTGACCCCGTGCCTGTCCCCCCCGGGCCTGGCCTGTCCCCCGCCCAGGTGGAGGAAAGCGTCCTCACTCTCGGCAAGTTCCACAACATGGTGAAGCTCGTGGCGTTCTCGCCGTTCCGGTCGGCGCAGAGCGCTCTGGAGAACATGAACGCCGTGTCCGAGGGTGAGTGGGGGTCTGGGGGGCACAGGAACCCCCCCGCGGCCCCCCCTGACCCCCCGATGTCCCGCAGGCGTCCTGCACGAGGACCTGCGGCTGCTGCTGGACACGGCGCTGCCCCCCAAGAGGAAGAAGGTGGTGCTGGGGGTGGGCGATGCCAAGATGGGCGCGGCCGTGCAGGAGGAGCTGGGGGTGCAGTGCCAGACCGGGGGCGTCGTGGCTGAGCTCATGCGGGGTGAGTGGGGACAGGGGGCACCCCGGGGGGCTGTCGTGGGGCTGGGGGGACCATCGGGCGTGTGCTGGGGGTTGTCCTGGACCTGGCCCAGAGGTGTACCCAGTGAACCCTCTGTGGCCGTGCGGTGGCACCTCAGTGCCCACACGGGGCCAGCTCAGTCCTCACGTGGCGAGGCCCTTGTGCTCACAAGGTGACAGCTCTTCCCATGGGCTGACACCTCAGTCCCAGCACAGTGACACCTCAGTCGCTGTGTGGTGGCAACTCTGTCCCTTCCCTGTCCCCATGTGTGACTGCTGGGTCCTACATGGTCGTAGCTCAGTGCCCACCTCCCGTGGCCCCTGTCCCCGTGTCCCGCAGGGATCCGGCTGCACTTCCCGGCGCTGGTGCGGGGCCTCACGGCACAGTCGGCGGCCAAGGCCCAGCTGGGGCTCGGCCACAGCTACTCCCGGGCCAAGGTGAAGTTCAACGTGCACCGAGTGGACAACATGATCATCCAGTCCATCAGCCTGCTGGACCAGCTGGACAAGGACATCAACACCTTCTCCATGCGCGTCCGGTGAGCGGGGGTGGGTTTGGAGGGTCTGGGGGTCCCGTCTCCCCTCGCTTACCGCAGGCAGCCGCTGCTCCGACCGCCTGTACAGACCGGGGAGACACAGCACAGCCCCTGGGGCCACCGGCTGGGCCATGGGCCACGGCGGGGACCTTGGGGGGACACAGGGATGTGGGGGGGACACAGGGATGTGGAGGGGTCATGGGGGTACACAGGTCCTTGGAGGACACAGGGCCTTGGGGAGGGCCTTGTGGGGGGGACACAGGGCTTTGGGGTAGCCGCAGGTCCACGTGTGAGTGCTGAGCCTGTCCCTGCCCTGCAGGGAGTGGTACGGGTACCACTTCCCCGAGCTGATCAAGATCGTCCCCGAGAACTCCATGTACTGCCGGGTGGCCAAATTCATCGGGAACCGGCGGGAGCTGAGCGAGGAGAGCCTGGAGGGGCTGGAGGAGATCGTCATGGACAGCGCCAAGGCCCAGGCCATCCTGGAGGCCTCACGCTCCTCCATGGGTGAGAGGGGCTCTGGGGAGCTCGGGGGTGTCGTGGCTGCAAGGTGGGTTCTTCCGCTCACTTGGTGTCCCCCCAGGGATGGACATCTCCCCCCTGGACCTCATCAACATCGAGAGCTTCTCGCGCCGCGTGATCTCACTGTCCGAGTACCGCCGGGGGCTGCAGGAGTACCTGCGCTCCAAGATGAACCAGGTGGCCCCCAGCCTGTCTGCCCTCATCGGGGAGGTGGTGAGTGTCCCTGGGACCCCTGGGGACCCCTCGGCCACGGAGATGATGTCAGAGTGAATCTGTCAATCCACTGAGCAGAGCTGCTGACACCTCACTGCTGATCCCTGGCCTGGGGGGCTTTGTGTGCCTCGGGGTGGGCTGTGGGACCTGAGGGGACTCTGGGTGCCCTGGGGGGGAAGAGGGGGAGCTCTGTGTGCTCTGGGGAGCTGTGTGTGTGCCCTGGGTGGTTTCTGTATGTCCCTCGATTGTTTCTGTGTCCCGGGGTGGGCTCTGCATGTGTGTGTGTGTGTGTGTTTGTGTGTGTGTGTGTGTGTGTATAAGCCCTGGGGTGGGCTCTGGGGGGGCTGTGGGGCTGAGGCAGCCATAACCCCCCGTGCTGCCCCCCAGGTGGGTGCCCGGCTCATCTCCCACGCCGGCAGCCTGACGAACCTGGCCAAGTACCCGGCGTCGACGGTGCAGATCCTGGGGGCTGAGAAGGCCCTGTTCAGGTACCGCCGGGTGGTCGCGGTGATGGCGGGGCCGGGGCCACGGCTGTGACGCGCCGGGGCTGGCGGGGGTGAGCAGCCGGGCCCAGTCTGAGCGACCACCGCGGCTGCGGGGCCGGCCCGGGGCTCCCCGAGGTCAGCGGGGCCAGGGGGGACTGGGGGAGGGGGCTGCAGGGGGGGCTGGGGGAAGGGCTGTCCCACAGGCCCAGTGGGTGCTGCTGGCAGAGGGGGGCTGGGGGGGCTCTGTCTGGGGTCCCACCCGCCCCTCATTCCCCCGCCCCTCGCAGGGCTCTGAAGACGCGCGGGAACACCCCCAAGTACGGGCTCATCTTCCACTCCACCTTCATTGGGAGAGCGGCCGCCAAGAACAAGGGGCGCATCTCGCGGTACTTGGCCAACAAGTGCACCATCGCCTCCCGCATCGACTGCTTCTCGGGTGGGTCTGGGCACAGGGTGGGTGGGACACACCTGCCAACAGGGGCACCGGTGCCTCCTGCTTCGGCTGCTCCTCGGGGGCACGGCTGGGGGTGGGTTTGGGGCCGCTCTGCCGTGATGGGAACATTTTTCGTCAGCAGCATCTCACACCCGTGTGAATGGTGACTCTGTTGGGCTGAGCAGAGCCGGGGGGTGCAGGGGGGCTGGGGGCCCAGGGGGGCAGGAGGGGGCTGACCCCATCCCCTCCCCAGAGGTCCCCACCAGCGTGTTCGGGGACAAGCTGCGGGAGCAGGTGGAGGAGCGACTGGCCTTCTACGAGACTGGGGAGCCCCCCAGGAAGAACCTGGAGGTGATGAAGGAGGCCGTGGTGGAGGTGAGGAGGGGTTGGGGGGGCCACGGAGAGGGGTGGAGGTGCTGGGGATGAAGAAGAGTGGTGAGGGTGATAAAAGAGATAGAAGTGAGGCTGCAGGGAGGGAGGGAGGGAGGGACAAGGACGTGGAGATGAAGTGCTGGGGAGATGAAGATAGAGGTGAAGGTGCTGGGGGTGATGGAGGAGGTGGAGGTTTCGGTGAGGTGCTGGGGGCATGAAGATGATGGTGAGGGCCCGTGTCGGAGGTGATGTCACTGTGCCAACCTGACCCACTGTGGAGGCAAAAGACTGATTTAATGAGTCTGATCCGACCAGTGCCGGGGGTGGGGACGGGCCCTGGGACCCTCCCCCCGCTGATGCCCCCCTGTGTCCCCCCAGGCTAACGAGGTGGTGGCTGAGGTGAAGAGGAGACAGGAGAAGAAGGAGAAGAAGAAGAAGAAGCGGGAGAAGCGGCGGCTGGAGGCCCTGGCAGCGGCTGCCGAGGAGGCAGAGGAGAACTCGGTGATGGAGACAGAGGTGAGGAGGGGGCTGGGGTGGGACCCTCGTGCAGAGCTGAGGGGTTGCCTGGGCCCCCCAGGGTGGGGGCAGAGCACCCTCTGACATTGGGTGTTCTCTCAGGAGAACGATGTGGGGGCCAAGAAGAAGAAGAAAAAGAAGAAGCAGCAGATGGAGGAGGCAGAGGCTGAGCCCGAGGAGAATGGGCTGGAAGAGGAGGAGGAGGAGGAGGAACCCCTGCCCAAGAAAAAAAGGAAACTCACGGCTGAGCCTGAGCAAGAGGAGGAGGAAGAGGAGGAAGAGAAGAAGAAGAAAAAGAAGAAGAAGAAGAAGGCAGTGGCCTAGGACTTGGAGGAGGATGAGGGAGCAGGGGCTGGAGCAGGAGCTCCATCACACGAACAGACGGACTGACAGACTGAGGAACAGGAGGAGCTGGGGGCGGCCCTGCCGTGTCCCCGCAGCGTCCTGGGCGTGTCCTGTGGCACAGTGGCCACACTGAACTGGGCCACACGGAACGTGTGGTGGCCCCTCGGGGCCTGGGTGAGTCCTTTGGGCACCGGCAGCCCCCAGGCTGTGCCTTTCACGGTGTTGCCCCCCAGCCCCCCGTGTTCCTTCCCTGGGGGGTTTGGGTGCACGTGGTGTATCCCTGGACTGTGGTGGATCCCTGGGCCACGTGTAGACGTGTGTGTCCCTCTGCCTGGGCCGTGCAGGGGGCAGGACCTGCTTGGGCTGACCAGGCCCCAATAAAGGGCTGAGGTTGTTGTTTATCCCTCCTGTGTGGTGTGTGCCAGGGGGTGCCCTGGCTGTCCCCTCTGGCACAGGGACACGATGGCACCGTGGTCACGCCTGAGGCCACTTTATTGGAGGGAAGGAGTGATTTACCGGGTGGGCAGGGCAGGAGCCGGGAGGGGCACTACCCCAGCACTACCCCTCCAGGGCAGCTATCACGGCCTGGGTGAAATCCATGGAGGTGGAGTAGCCCCCCATGTCCGCCGTGCGCACCTGCAAGGAGAGGGGAGGTTAGGGAGGGGCAGGGACCCCGGCAAAGGGGCCCCCCAGCCCCAGCCTGGGCAGTGCCGCCCTGGGACAGGGGCCCTTGGGGACACAGGGAGAGGCTGAAGCCCCCCCATGCCCCACACAAGGTGGGAAGCATCAGACAGCCCACACTGGGTGCCCACTGGCACTGTGGTCTCTGGTTCCAGCACTGTTACCCCTTTTGCAGAGCAGCCCCTCCCCAGGCAGAGTTGCTCCCAAGGAGGGGCTGGGGCTGAGCCCCCCTCCCCCCAGCCCAGTGCCCCTCGACCTGCCCCAGGCTGTGACCCCCCAGGCCGGAGGGAAGCGTTGGACCCTTTATTAGCAAGCAGGAGTTACAGAGCACAGCACGATGACACAGCCCAGCACCCACCCCACAGTGACCCCAGGAGTCATAGGGACCCCTGGGCTCACGCTGGAGCTGGTCCCTGGTCCCAGGAGCCACCAGGACCCCCGGGGTGGCACCGTGGCTGGTCCCAGGAGCCACAGGGCCCTCTGTCCCTGTGCCAGCAGCAGAAAGGGGGAAGGAGGGTGGGGGAGCCCTGTGGTCCCATTTATTGCTAAAAGCTTCATGGGAATGGTGGTCCCACAGTGATGAGGGTCCCATGGGAATGGTGGTCCCATAGTCACAAGAGGTCATGGAATGGTGGTCCCACAGTACTGGTGGTCCCAATGTCCCTGGAAGCTGCCTGTGAGTTTGGGGTGCTGCCCCATTCCCCTCCGTCACCCCAATGGACCCTGAGATCCACCCTGGCCATGGAGTGATCCCTGCGAGGGGAAACTGGGAGTAGGGAGGGACTGGAGTTACTGGGCTGGGCAGGGGGGAGGCCCCCCCTTCTCCCCCGGGGGAACTGGGGCAGCTGGGCAGGGGCAGGGGGGTTGGGGAGGGGTTTGGGGGGCCGAGGCGCTGTGGGGGCTGCCGGGGGTCCTAAGCCCCATAGTGGGGGTGCAGGTTGTCAATGACGGACTTGACGAAGTCGGTGGTGGTGGAGTAACCGCCCAAGTCCCGAGTCCGGACCTGAAAATCCAACACAGGGAGGGGAGAAACGGGGGAAACTGCTGGTGAACGAGGGAAATGTCTCCGAGAGGGAGAGGAGAGGAGAGAGAGGAGCCCCTCGAGTGCCCTGCCAGGGCCCGGGTGGGGAGGGAGCCGTGGAGGGTCCCTCGAGTGCCCTGCTAGGACTTGGGGTGGGGAGAAAGCCATAGAGGGTCCCCCAGCCCTGCCAGGACCTGGGGTGGGGAGGGGGGTCACAGAGGGTCCCTCAAGCGCCCTGCCAGGACCTGGGGTGGGGAGAAGGCCATGGAGGGTCCCTTAGGCCTGCCAGAGGTCCCTCCCTTGCCAGCACATGACCCCGGGGACAAGTGCAGGAGAGAGGAGAGGAGCCAGGATTCCAGCTGGAAAGAGGAGCAGAGCCAGAATTCCAGCTAGAAGAGAAGAGGGGCTGGAATTCCAGCTGGGAGAGGAGCTGAAATTGCAGCTGTAGAGAGGAGAGGAGCCAGAGCCTCGCCCAGGACACAGAGCAGCCCAGGACACAGCACAGTGACACGGTGACAGAGCCCCACACTCACTTTGCCGCCTTTGATCACCTTCTTCACTGCGTCCGAGATCAGGTTGGAGTGGTACTCCAGGCTGGAGGGGAGAGCAGAGGGTCAGCCCCCTGCAGCCCCCCAGCAGCCCCCCAGTGCCCAGCCCAGCACGTACTTGAGGTGCCGCAGCATGTTGGAGGCCGACAGCAGCATGGCTGTGGGGTTGGCGATGTTCCTGCCCACGGCCTGGGCGAAGGGGTGCCGGGCGCCCTGCGGGACAGACCACGGTGAGGGGCCCTGTGCCCCCCTCAGCCTCCCGGCACCCCCCGCCCCCCAGACCCGCTCACCAGCTCAAACACGGCGTACTCGGCGCTGTAGCTCTCCCCGGGCACGACGCCCGCGCCGCCCACCAGCCCCGCCGCCAGGTTGTCCACGATGTTCCCGTACAGGTTGGGCATCACCAGCACGTCGAACTGGTACGGGTTCTGCACCAGCTGGGGGGGCACGGGGGGCATGTGAGGCCCTGCACACCTGGGGGCAGCTCAGCGCCTGGGGGGGCTGGGTGAGCTCCAAGGTCTCCTCCAGAGCCTAACGGAGCTCCAGGAGAGCTGGAGAGGGATTTGGAGGAGGGATGCAGGGACAGGACAAGGGTCCAGGTACAGCTTTTGGGGTTCCAGCTCCAGGGGGAGCATCAGTGGGTGGTGCAGGGGGGCTCACCTGCATGCAGCAGTTGTCAATGATCATGGTGTCGAATTTGATCTTGGGGTACAGCTCTGCCACCTCCTTACAGCACTGCAGGAACAGCCCGTCCCCCAGCTTCCTGCAGAGAGCAAACACGAGGAAGGGTTGGTGGGAAACAGGAATCCTTATGGCACCAGGTGTCCAACAGGAACTGCAGGTGTCCAACTGCAGCTGGGGTCTGTGATAAGTGGGGGCTTCTGGTGCTGCTTTGTTCCTCCCCTCAGCCCCTCTCTCCCTTTCTGCCACCTCCCAGAAGAATGTGCTTTGTCCCAGGTAAACACACCTGGAAGGACTAAAGAGAGCACAACTTCCTGTCTCAAGCACTGTCAAGGCCACAGAAGGAACTTCCCAGGAGATAAACCAGCACAGCAAGAACTTGAGGTAAGCACAGATGGCAGGAATTTATACCAGGAAGGTGCTAATTCCAGGCCTAGCGGAGCTCAGGTTTGGTCAGGTAGTAATGCACTCTGTCAAATTCCCACTGTGGCAAACTGTGGGAAAGGAACTGACTGCTCACAGAGGGCACCCCAAGGCAAGGGAGCATCCCCGTGGGCACCCAGAGCTTGGAGAGAACAGAGGGGGGAGAGGACCTTTGTTCTGGAGCTGCTGCACTGGCTCTGAGTCACCGAGAACTCTGCTCAGCCCCACAGCAGTGTCGTGCTCAGTGGCAGGCCCTGTAACCACTGACATTACAGCACTACAGGAGGTGTTGCAGGGCTGGGCAGCCCAGCCAACCTGAGGGGACAGTGGTGTCCCCAGGGCACTCACATGATGTTGGCCTTGTGCACAGCGGTGACCTTGGCCCGGCCCTTCTTGGTGGCGTAGTCGAAGGCGAACTTGGCGATGCGCTGGGACTTGGCGCGCGTGATGATCTTGAGGCACTCGATCACCCCCTTGGCACTCTGGGGGCACAGGGGGGTCACACACAGCACAGCACAGCACCCCCCGGGCGTGGGCTGGACAGAGCTGCCTCCCCAGGGGCTGGATTTAGGGTGAGGATGATGATGGTAACACGTGGGTGTTGCTCACCCCAAATTAAGGACATTTCAGTGCCCCCTGGCCAGGGCATGAGAATTTGGGGGGAAACAGCCCATAGAATGTCCTGCCCGGTACAGAAACTGGGGGGAGGGAGGGGCAGTTACTGCTGAGCATTGGTCAGTGGGTGGTGGGAGATTGAATGGGCATCACTTGTTCCACCTGGGGTCTGCTCATCTCCCTCTCATTTATTATATTGTATTTAGGTAAGTTATTATGTGTAATGTATTATTTTCTGTATTATATGTATATTATCATTGTATTTTATTAACAATAATATTTGTATTTTAGTAGCATTAGTTAGCATTAGTATTGCTGCTCTTATTATTTTGTTTCAGTTATTAAATTTTTCTTATCCCAATCCATGTTCACCCTTTCTTTCCTGTTCTCCTCCCCCTGGGAAGGGAGAGAGGGGGACTGAGGGCTGGGGTTAACCCAAGGCAACATCCATGTCCCCTTGTCCCTTTTTCCTCCTGCAGCCTCCCCATCCTCATTGGGGTTGGGAGTGTTCATATCCCTAAAACCTCCCCTAATTCCATCACTGGTGCTCCAGGCGGTTCCACACTGTGCTGAGCATGGAATCAGGGAATCACGGAAAGGTTTGGGTTGGAGAGAAGTAGGATCTCATCCAGTCTCACCCAGGGACACCTTCCAGTATCCCAGGTCTTGGACACCACTAGGGATCCAGGGGCAGCCACAGCTTCTCTGGGAAATTCATTCCAGCCCCTCCCCACCCTCACAGCCCCAAATTCCTTCCCAATCTCCCATCTGTCCCTGCCCTCTGGCAGTGGGAAGCCATTCCCTGTGTGCTGTCCCTCCATCCCTTGTCCCCAGTCCCTCTCCAGCTCTCCTGGAGCCCCTTTAGGCCCTGCCAGGGGCTCTCAGCTCTCCCTGGAGCCTTCTCTTCTCCAGGCCGGCCATTCCCAGCTCTCCAGGCTGGCCATTCCCAGCTCTCCAGGCTGGCCATTCCCAGCTCTCCAGGCCGGCCATTCCCAGCTCTCCAGGCTGGCTCCTGCCCCCAGCGCTGCCCCGGCCATGCCCACACCTCGGCCGTGCCCACACCTCGTGCTCCAGGGAGCTGTACTCGCCCTCGGTCTGCTCCCGGATGATCACCAGGTCCAGGTTGTTGTGCCGGGTCTGGTATCCCGGCAGGCTCTTCACGTGCACCACGTTGGCAAACAGGTCCAGCTTCCTCCTGGCAGGGAGGGACACGGGGCTGGGCTGGGGGACACCCTGCAGGACCCCCGGGCAGCAGGGCCACACAGCAAGGAACAGGGCTGTCCCAGGGACTGTCCCCACAACTGATTAATTAGGAATTAAGAGGCCTTTCCCAGTGATTGTCCCAAATAACTCAGTAATTAATAGGCCTTTCCCTGTGACTGTCCCCAATAAGTCATTAATTAGTAATTAATAGGGCTTTCCCACTGACTGACCCCAAAAATTCATTAATTAGTAACTAAGAGGGCTTTCCCAGTGATTGTATCTTATAACTCATTAATTAGTAATTAATAAGACATTCCCACTGACTGCCCCATGTCATGGTTTGATCCAGCCACTGCCTCTCTGGGCAGTCTCTGCCCGCACTCTCCACCAAAACTGTTGTGGTTTTGCCCACCAGCCAGGCCCTGGGGCTGAGGATGGCTCTGTCCAGGTGGATTTCCAGAGAAAAGGCCAATCAGAAGTTTCAGTAACGCCTCTGCCAACGACATTTTTAAGAAAATGGAAGGGAAGGCTGTGGTGCAGTTGAAATTAGGAGCAGGTAAAATTGGCAGCCATGTAGGAGCGGTGGCAGGCCCGAGGAGGGCTGGGGGCAGGCGTGGCACTGAAGCCACCCCTTCTCTCCTGTAGGAGAGCAGAGAGGAAAAAAAAAACCTTTAAAGAAGAACTTGGACAAGATGTGCTGCGAAAGGAATTCCAGAGAGAGAGAGAGAGAGCACAGCTTTCAAGGCCAAAGCTGCAGCAGCAGGAGAGAGAAGTTTGAAGGAGGGGCTGTTTTCCCCCGCTTTCGCTCTCTCCCTTCAGCAGGGAAAAGACTGAAAAATAAATCCCTGCCACTTATGGAAGATTATTGGGGTGAGGAGACTCCCATGTGTCTCATAAAGGGGCTTGTGGATGCCGAGGAAGCTGAGACTCCATGAGAAGCTTGAAATGAAACAGAGTCCTGCTGGAGGCTTGTAGGCCATGGAAAGACTTACACCGGAGCAGAACGGCTCGGGTAGGATGTTGGGATCCGAGTGAGGGATCCATGCTGGTGCAGCTAAATTTGTGGCCCTGAGAGACAGCAGAGAATGGAAGACCTTGTTGTCTGAGAGATGGACTCACGCCGGAACAGTCTATCAAAGGACTGTTCTCCCGTGGGGAGGGACCCACAGGGAACAGGGGTGGACTCAAACGGTAATAGGGGACACTGGGACACCCCTTCTAGGTGCCATCGGTTCACACAGGAACGTCAGGTACCTTCTGGGATGTCCCGACCCATTGGGGGGTCCGAGGCCAGAGTCGGGTCCTCCCCCCGTCCGGGTCGGGACTCCGCGACACAGAAAACAGAGAGAGAAAGAGAAACAGCTCCAGCTGCGACGGAAAGGAGTTGTTGTCCTAGAGGTAACACAAGAAGAGCTCTCCAGTGCTGCAGAGTTATTGAAAAGACCTGGAGCTCTGGAAATGGAACAGAGACTGCTTCTCCTCCTGGACTGATATAGAGGAGGGAGGGGTATTTCTGTAAATACAGAGTGCTTTTACCTAATTAGAATTATTGTAGATGCAGTTCTTTAGTTTTTATCTTGCTAGTAATAAATGTTAATATTATTTTCCCAAATCAGATCTCTTTTGTCTGCATAAGCCTTCTCTCAACTTAGGGTAATTGTGGGGAGGGGTGAGAGAAAAATTGACCCAGAGCACAACCATGACACCCCAATAATAGAATAATTAGTAATTAATAGGGCTTTCCCAATGACTGACCCCAAAAACTCATTAATAACTAATTAAGAGGGCTTTCCCACTGATTGTTCTCAATTACTCATTCATTAGAAATTAATAGGGCTTTTCCACTGATTTACCCCAATAACTCAGTAATTGTTAATAGGACTTTCCCAGTGATTGACCCCAATAAATCATTAATTAGTGATTATTAGGGCTTTCCCACTGATTGCCCCCAGAAATTCAGCAATTAGGAATTAATAGGACTTTCCCACTGATTGGCCAAAAAACTCATTAATTAATTAATAAGGATTATTACAATTATAATTACGTATAATTATATAATTGTAATTATACATTATATATAATTATAACTAATTAATAGGGATTTTCCACTGATTGATCCCAAAAACTCATTAATTATTAATAGGACTTTCCTAGCGATTGTCCCCAGTAGCTCATTAATTAGTAATTAATAGGGCTTTCCCACTGATTGCCCCCAAAAATTCATTAATTAGTAACTAATAGGGTTGTCCTAGTGTTTGTCACCAATAATTCATTAATTACTAATTAACAAGGCTTTCCCACTGATTGCTTCTAAAAATCATTAATTTGTAATTAATAGGGCTTTCCCAGTGATTGTATCTTATTAATTAGTAATTCATAGGGCTTTCCCACTGATTGTCCCCAATAACTCATTAATTTGTAATTAATAGGGCTTTTCCACTAAGTGTCCCCAAAATTCAGAAACTATGAATTAATAGGGTTTTCTCAATGATTATCCCAAAAAACTCATTAATTAGTGATTAATAGGGCTTTCCCACTGATTGCCCCCCCAAAATCATTAATTTGTAATTAATATGTTTCCCAATGATTGTCCCCCAAAACTCATTATTTACTAATGAAGAGGGCTTTTCCACTGATTGACCCCTAAATCTCATTAATTATTAATAGACCTTTCCCACTGACTGATCAAAAAAATTCATTAATTACTAATTCATAGGGCTTTCCCACTGATCGCCCCCCAAAATTCATTAATTAGGAATTAATAGGGGATTCCCACTGATTGTCCTTAAATACTCATTAATTTGTAATTTCCCACTGATTGCCCCAATAACTGACTAATTAGTAATTAATAGGGTTTTCAGACTGATTCACCCCAAAAACTCATCAATAACTAATTAAGAGGGTTTTCCCACTGATTGTTCTCAATTACTCATTAATTAGTAGGGCTTTACCACTGATTGACCCCAATTAATCATTAATTATTTATAGGGCTTTCCCACTGAATGACCCCAATAAATCATTAATTAGTGATTATTCGGGCTTTCCCACTGACTGACCCAAAAAATTAATTTGTAATCAATAGAGTTGTCCTAGTGACTGTCACTAATAATTCATTAATTAGTAATTAACAGCATTTTCCCACCGATTGCCTGCAAAAACTCAGTAATTAGGAATTAATAGGGTTTTCTCAATGATTGGCACAAAAACTTATTAAGTAGTAATTAATAGGGATTTTGCACTGATTGATCCCGAAAACTCATTAATTATTAATAGAACTTTCCCAGTGATTGCCCCCAATAAGTCATTAATCAGTAATTAATAGGGCTTTCCCACTGATTGCCCCCAAAAATTCATTAATTAGTAACTATTCGGTTTGTCCTAGTGATTGTCAGCAATAATTCATTAATTACTAATTACCAGGGATTTCCCACTGATTGCCCCAAAAACTGATTAATTAGTAATTATTAGGGCTTTCCTGATGATTGACCCCAAAAACTAATTAATAACTAATTTAGAGGGCTTTTTCACTCATTGTTCTCAATTACTCAATAATTTGGAATTAATAGGGCTTTCCCACTGATTGACCTCAATAACACATTAATTAGTAATTAACAGGGCTTACAAGTGATTGTCCTCAACAAGTCATTAATTAGCAATTAATAGGGCTTTCCCAGTGACTGCCCCAAAACCTCATTAATAAGGAATTAATAGGGCTTTTCCACTGATTTACCCTAATAACTCAGTAATTATTAACAGGGCTTTCCCACTGATAGCTCTTAAATACTCATTAATTAGTAATTAATGAGGCTCTCCCTGTGACTGCCCCAATAATTGACTAATTATTAATTAATAGGGCTTACCCAATGATTTACGCCAAAAACTCTTTAATAACTAATTAATAGGGCTTTCCCACTGATTGTCCTCAATAAATCATTATTTGTAATTATTAGGACTTTCTCAGTGATTGGCCCCCAAAACTCATTAATTTGTAATTAATAAGGCTTTCCTAACGACTGTCCCCAAAAACTCATTATTTAGTAATGAAGAGGGCTTTTCCACTGATTGACCACTAAAACTCATTAATTATTAATAGACCTTTCCCAATCATTGACCCCAAAAATTCATTAATTAGTAATTCACAGGGCTTTCCCAATGACTGCCCCCAAAACTCATTAATTTGTAATTATTAGGGCTTTCCCACTGATTGACCTCAATAGCTCAGTTACTAATAATTAAGAGGGCTTTCCCAGTGATTGCCCTCAATAAATCATTATTTGTAATTAATAGGGTTGTCCCAGTGATTGTCCTCAAAAACTCATTAATTAGTGATTAATAGGGCTCTCACAGTGATTTTCCAAAAAATTCATTAATTAGTAATTAATAGGGTTTTCCTGATTGTCACCAATACTTCATTAATTTGTAATTAATAGGGCCTTCCCACTGATTGCCCCCAAAAATTCATTAATAACTAATTAAAGGGCTTTCCCACTGATTGACCCCAATAACTCATTCATTAGTGATTATTAGGGCTTTCCCAATGATTG